ATGCATTTAGCTATATACTCACTTTCAAGAATAACCCCTGTGCTCAAATTAGCTTGTTCATACATGCAAGACTGCAGCCACTCATCCCTTTTCAAAGATCTAACAACAATACAAGACCCCTCAGTGGATCAGTAAGGTATTAGTTTAACAAAATACAGACCAGGAGGAGTATGAACAAGTATGCATAAATGGACAAATGCACTAATGGATTTACCTGTACTTTGCAAATTAATACATGTAAATGATTAAACAGGCCTTGCACTCATTGTCAAATGACAAATACTTTATAGATTGAATATATAGAGAACTGAATTTTGTCCTGGGATAGAGAAACTATTACCTGGCAGTGTAATGCAGCAGTGATGGAAAATCAATGGTATGTAAACATTATAACCCTAATTTGATCACAAAACTTGTTTCTCAAGTCAATGACAAAGCAGTCTGTTCAGTAAATTCCCTTCTCAGTTTTGAACATAATCCAGCAGCATATGTCTATCTTGTAAATTTGATTCCTTTTTAATAATATTTCCTGGACATAGTAAGTCAGTAATTCAGCTCCACTAAAAATTATTAATACAAATCCTACACTAAATTAATTAAATTTGCATATTCCAGATCCACTGAGTTTTTTGCATTCCATGAGAACTTTACCAACACGTTATCAAACCATAAATATGTCAAATTAGCATCACTACTTTAGCATGGATATAGTATACTTCTCTGGGTACTTAGTACTGTTTAACAGAATTTACACTGCAAATGGCAGACAGACATACTTCAACTGATACCTTGTCATGGACTATCTTGTAAAGGCACAGCCAAACCCATATTAAGTCCAACTAGCATAATTGTTACACAACTAAAGTTCAAATGACTGCATACTTAAAGTTAAAGCTTTCTAATCCCTTCCCCACCCTCTTCCAAAAACTCATTTATTTACCAAAGAAGAGTATTTTAAAACTTAGCTTGAATAAAGTATTTGACAGCAGGAACCCTTAGCACACGATGCATTCTTCCAGTGGCCTAATATTACCCCACATATAATGCAGTGGGCCCTTGGCACCATGAACTCTTATGTGTACTCCTATTATTCAGTAAGTTTTATCAAACAAAAGTTTGTTCTGATTCTCACTAAATATGGATATTAACCCTTCAGCTGGGCTTTTGTTATAGATGTTCTCTTAATGGGACACTTTACTTCCAGGGGAACATCATTTTCAAAACTAGGTAGCAGAGCTATTGTACACGCCATCCCCTTTTTCTGCCATCAAACTTTTGGATTTACTATTCCAGGGTGTCCATGTTGCATTGCTGAGCCACTACTGTCATACATCACTTGGCTAGTCTCTGATGTAAAGCTCTGTAATAAAGTAGCTTTACTCGGGAGGCTGATTTTCCTTTCCCACTTTTTCTGTCCATGAGCACTGTGGAAAAACTGAAGTCAGACACAAAAGCTGCTGCAGCAGCAGCCCTCAGGGAAGCTAAGTACTAAATTGCTATAAATACTCATTTGCAGTAAGTGTCATTTTAGTCCAGTGCATATGAAAATACTCAATGAGTCTTGTGATAGGTTTCTACTTACTGTAACATTGTCAGACTTTATTATAGCCTACCTTTTGCAGTTTTTTAGTAAGCTTGCAGTTAGTGTCAGACAAGCACCATTTACAGGATTGACTAAAGTACTTCTGGGAGCTATTCCAGAAACAGTTTGAAACTTATAATGCAAATTGGTCTTTTCAAATCAAAACTTACTTTCATTTTGTCATACGTTTCACCTACTTTTACGCTATCAGAATGCATAAGGACAGGACTGTGGCCAGCCTGGCTCAGGAATAAATTGTTTAGTTTTTCACTTAGGGCTTGAGATCTTTATGCTCGGTGAAGTAAATGGCAATAATGCTGCTACTGACTTCAATGGTGTAGGATCGGGGCCTCATCACTCAGTGTCTTCCCCCTTCAGTAAGAGGCCTCCAAATTTTGCCCAAACGAGGGCCATACTGATAACTTGGAAAGAGCTGACAGGTCCCAATGGCTTTCTATAAAATGAAGCAAGACTGCAGTCACCATACTTGTTTAAACAGAGGTGTGCGATCCATTGAGACTACAGGTCTGAGCATGCCATGCTGCAGCTTCAATCAAAGTAAAAATACTCCTTCCTGAGATTTGTAGTCTCAGGGCTGCCCCTCTGTATTAAAGAGGAGGGTAGCTCTGGGTCATACTGTCATCAATCCATGGACTATATTAGGTCTGCCCAGGCCTATGTGAATGAAGTTTTTGTGTGTGAGGTTTTAATTGCTAGATTCTGAAAGGAATGGCCTTAGAGTCTTCATACCTGTAAAGATGTCCAAAGGAAGTAGCATCTGTGTGCTTGAAGTTGTTCACGTAAACATTAGCTATTTTAATCTTAAACTGGTTCAAAGGAATGTCTGTTTTTAGCCACGAGCAGTAACGCATGTACCCCTTTGGACAGTATCGGCAGTTAGTGTAGCTCTCCCACTGTGAGCTATCCGTCCTTTTCACTGATGTCAGGCTTGAAGACAGAAAGGAAGGACAGGAGAAGTTTGAAAAGGAGATCCCGCTATCAAAAATCACCATTCTCAAGATGAGAGGCTACCATGACAGAGCAAGGGTTTAGATTATTCTTGTGCTAGCAGGTTTTAGCTTTTGGGGGATGGGTAGGGGCAGAGAGGGCATAGAAGTAAAAGGTCTTGCAAGTTCTTATTCAGCTGGCAATACTTAATTTTACTTAGTGCAAATCTGTAGCTTAATGAAGATCATTAGAACTTGCAGAAGGCGCTCTACTCCAATAACATTGCAATGTATTACTGAATCCATCCTGTTGGAAAATTGTCACCTTCTGTTACTTATGCAAGTACCTTCCATTTAGGTCGAGAGAGAGAGAGAGAGAATCTATGCTTAGGAAATGCAAATATTGACCACAACACTTAACATGGCTACTTTCAGAAGCTATATATAAACCAGATAAATTGACCCTGTGCCTCACTTGTTCTCAAATGCCTTTAATAATAAAGGAACACTGTATGCCTTTTACAACAAAGGCATAAGAACTCTCTTCTCACAAGTTCTCTGTGGGTGACTGAAGACTGGTTTCAGAGGGCTCTCTCCCCCCCTCTTCAGACTCTACATTTTCAGTACACTAATATGCTCTACTTAACTAATTCCAATAGGAGATGGATGCAAGTCATCTTGTGGACAGTGGCAAAGAACCCAAGTGCACAGAATAGCTTTTAGTCGAACCTAGCTGTAGAAATTCCATAGTCAGTCTTTCTCCCTGCCTCCAAAATAGGAAAAAAAAATGTTTTAGCGATAAAGTCACAATATCCTTTTTAAGCAGTCTTCAGGGGAACCCGTAAGTTTTTATCAAATAGACTAGTTCTTGCTACAGGGGAAGGCAGCATTTGTTTTGGATTGAGAATACAACAGTCTCAATGCAGTTGTATTTGTTAATCTAGTTCCCTAACCTGTTCCACTAAGTGTCTAGAACATTCTGGATAACTACTATTTTAACCCCTTGCTAAGAGAAAGAGGTTACTGCAATATGCTTGAAGTAACAAAAATAACCAATGTGTTCAGAGTCAGGCTTGAAGAGACATTTTCTACATGACAAAGTCTTTATCAGATCTCATTATTATTTCTGTGT